GGGAGTAGTATTTAGATAGAAAGGCTCTATCTAAAAAAAGAATTAGGGCAAGATTTTTGGCAAAATATTACATCAACTTTTTCCTGCTTATCTTTCTGGTCATTATTACTATGTTTTAAACATGCGTGATTTAATTTTTTATTTTAATAACGTTAGGTCTTAACATTCTTTTGTGGTTTTCTGTGTACCCAATGGAGTGTGAAGAGTTTGATTCCTTTTTTTTTTTTAAGCTGCCTATTGTGAGCAGGGGCGAATTCTTGAATCTGAGTACTCAGGGGTTGATTTTCAGATATTCTGCCAGGTCAAGAAGAATCAATGCCCCCAAGCGCTGACTTCAGCCTCTGGTTTCTCTGGAGAGGGATCATTATTTATTTATAAACCTCATGAATTAGAGAGAGATCTCACTCTACTGGGGGTGATTTGAGCTGCTTCTATGGAAAGGTCACCTGGTACTATTGGAGCAAAGGGAAGTACCTGGAAGGATGAGAGAATGTTGGCCACTCATTTGGGGATTCTTTTTATCTTAATTAACAAATTAATTAGGAAAAAAGGGTTAGGCAATAGTGTCTAGTTACTAAAGAAAAAGAAAGTGGACAGCTAGGAAGGTTAAATGTGGGGCTAATGATAAAACTATAGAAACTATCTGAAAAGCTACAAAATTGCCTAACAAGGGTTGATGATGAGGCAGACTCAGTGGTTGGTGCAAATCTCTCTCCAGCCCCTACAGTATCCTGAGGGATAGGTAGAACATAGAGACTCTCCTGAGAAGCACTGATTAAGCCTGCAGTGAGCCACGGCAGGAATTTAAAGGTCAGGTGTCAGCAGTAAAAGGGCTGTAAAACACACAGCTGTTTGTACCCAGCCACATGGCAAATAAGAGGGAACTGACCCTCCACAAAAATCTCTGTTTCCAAGTTATTCCAGTGACCTAGACAGTCACATCCACCTGGACTTGGGTGAGGTATTAGTAAGAGCCAGGTCCCTGTCCTCATACTTCTCACTGCCTAGAGTTGAATAACCTGTGGTTTCATTCTTACCTGGGGTTTTGAGTTGCAACATATCCCTGGCAAGGGGGAACTGAAAGAGCCCAAGGTCAGTTATTTGGTTCTTGTGCTGCCCCTCTGGTGACCATTACACTAATTTATTAAATAAGTATTTATTGAGACACACTAGATAATGAGGACACAAAAGTAAGAGATGACATGTTTGCAGATTTGAACTGAAATGCAAAGAATAAACGGGAATTCCCTGGGTTCTATCCTGAATTACACATAGAATTTGCAAGGCTCACTGCAAATGAAAATTCAGGGCCCCTTGTTTAGAAAATATTAAGAATTTGAAAACAGTGACAGTAAAGCCATAAATCATGGGGGGGGGGGGCTTCTGAGCATAGGACATTGTGACTGCATAGGTCACACTTCCATGAAGCCATGAAGAACCTTGTTCTCTTTGCCTAAAGCCCCAGTCTCTCCGTTACTTGGAACCTGCCTTTTACCACTCTCTACTCATTCTCAGTGGCTGAGTCTGGTTCCTACTAAGTGCTGAGACTTTGATGCATGCCTGGAACTTTGCTGCATGCTCTGGACTCTCTACATGCAGTGAGGCTCCCTGACACTGCATTCCCACCCAATCTATACCTGCAGTCTGCTGCCTTATGTTTAGATGCCCAATGTTGCCTGGTCAGCTGGAATTTCTCACGCTCTTCACCAGTTGACACTCCACTAAGGAATGAAAATGTAGGTATAATTCAGGTTCTGGATCTTCCAAATCCTCAGGCTCTGGAGGTGAGAGTAGTTGTATAGTCATTACCCTATAGTGAAAAGAAATGTCCCAGGATCCCAAACTCAAGTAGACCAGATGAAAAGCAGTGTGACTGCCATCTTGGCCTTTTTATACCAAAGATCTTACCCCTTTCATGGAAAAGTAAACCAATGAAAAGAGCATTTGTCCCTAAAGAATTCAAAATTCAAAAAGGAATGTTGGTAAGTACATGGTTCTGTAACTCAGCATTTTCCTTTCTCCTCTAGAAAATCATCCAAAAGCATACTCAGTTGTTAGCAAAACTAAAAGAAGAAACTAAAATATCTGTAGAGGTTGCCAAAAGTAATCCAGTTCACTCAGGAGCTGCATGGGGGAACTGGAGAGGAGCCAAGCAGAGATTTCTATGGCAAGAACTCCACTGTGGGAGATTTCAGAAAAGAATGACAAAAATACACTTTCTGAAGTTAAGAAGCCTATTTCAAGGGGACTTTGCCTGCAACAAGGGTAGTGGAAAGGGAAGTGAGCTAACTAGGTTTAGTTCAGAGAAGCAAAGGAGAATGGACTACATGACAAATTCTGGAGACAAGCCATATTTGCAGGAAGCACCTTGCCTTGGTGGTAGTCAGGAGGAAGAAAGCCTCAGGTTTGTGAATCCCAGATAGCATGCAGTATTACCCTTGTGCCTCCCTACCTTCAATTAAAAGTAAAAAAGTGATAGAAAACCCAGTGTCTAGTTTCCATAGATGAAGCAGAGGAAACTAAAAAAGGGATCTTTTCCATGCCTAAAACGTGCAGGAAAATTCCATTCCATCCAAAAACTTTAAAAGGAACATAAGTACAATGCTATTTAAACAATGCTATTGTTGTTCCAAGGAAAAACAATAAAAGGAATATTTATAAACTCTTTTTATGTGGTAGGCATAATATTAATATCAAAAAATAGAGAGTGCACAGAAAAATTTCCCAAACCACAGGTCAATGTTACTTATGGACATTAATGTAACAATCTTTTTAATAAAGTTTTTATTTATTTATTTTTTAGAGAGAGGGGAAGGGAGGGAGAGAAACATCAATGTGTGGTTGCCTCTCACGCACCCCCTACTGGAAACCTGGCTGGTCTGCACACCAGGCATGTGCCCTGAGTGGGAATCCACCTGGCAACCCTTTGGTTTGCAGGCCAGCATTCAATTCACTGAGCCACACCAGCCAGGGCTCAATGTAAAAATCTTAAATAAAATACTAGTAAATGAAACCCAACAGTACCTTAAGGCTTAAGTAATAATAACCAAATGGATGGTTCAATATTTAGAATTATATTAATATAATTCACTATACCAGTAGTTCCAAGAAAATAAAAACATAAGATCATCACAATTTTAATTCTTTAAAAAATGAACACTCTATAAAATGAGAATTAAGTGGTACTATCTTTGCTTAATAAAATATCGTTCTCTTAGTGCAAAAGTCAACATTGTGCCTAGCAACTGAGAGGATAGGAATAAGATATGGAAGACAGAGTTTTCACTGTATATATTTAAATACAACATAATGTTAAATCACATGGATGAATTACCTATGAAAAACTGTTTAAATAATATGTTAAAAAAGAAAAGACCTTTTCATCAGGTCTTCATTCACCTGCTTGCCACTCCATTTTCATCTTTGGGAAATTGTTTCTATTCTGTTTGAGTTACCTTAAGCCTTTTGCATCACCCACCTAGGGGGAGAAGAGAGACTTCAAGAGGGTAAGTTCAAAAGGAATTGACAACCCAACAACATCAACAGGAGTACACTCCTTGTGCACCCCAGAGTGTTTATGTTTAACCGTCTCTCTTCCCCTCCCCATCATGCCCTCCAGTACCTTGACAAAGAGATGTCCATGAGAGATGGCGTGAAGGAGGAAAGGAGATCAAAGGTGTCTATATGTGAGGATGGAGTGAGTGAGGTAAGGAGCAGGCCTTGAGACCCAGTATGAGTTGGGGAGTGTCACTCGTACCTGTCTCTTCTGTCTTGCTTTCTTTCATCTTTCATGGCCAGTGACACCAATCAAAGTCAGATGGAGGAAGAAGTGGGATGCTGTCACAGTGCAGCAAGACAAGATTTGTTTTTTTTAAAAGGACATAAGGACCTAAATAATATCAAATCATTGAAGGAGAAGAAGGGAAAGAAATAAAAATTCTAATCTCCAGGTCTAATAAGATTTGAAAATCTCAAGGATACTATTTAAAAGCATTTGATTAAAGTTGATATATAAGCCAACTCTTTTCATTTACTCAATGTCTTACATGAAATTACTACATGTCTAAAATACAAGTTTAAGAATTATTATTAAGTTACTTGGAAAAACTGTATTACAAAATGTCAAGATTATCTTACCTACATATTTATTTTTTAAACACTTTATTGATTATGCTATTACAGTTGTGTCATTCCTCCACCCTTTACTTCCCTCTGCCCTGCACACTCCCTCCCATCCACATTTCCCCCATTTAGTTCATGTCCATGGGTCATATATATATAAGTATATAAGTTCTTTGGCTTCTACATTTCCTATACTATTCTTAACCTCCCTCTATTTATTTTCTTTCTTTTTTTAAATTGTGTCCCAGTTTCTTTTTATTTATTTTTTTGTTTTACTTTTCCCTTTTTTTAAGTATGGAAGCTCAAGTATAAGATGTAGATTTTTTTAAGCTTTACAAAAAAACAAAATAAAACAAAAAACTCCTTTTGCATTCCATAAAAATCGACAGAAAAGCACCTGACCAGAAAAGCAGAACAGCCAGCGGCCCGCCCCTGTGCCCCCACACGGTGGCCTCCACGGGGGCAGGTCCGGGCTGTGCAGGACAGTGCCCAGGGCCACCTCTTCTTTCTCCCAGAGCCGTCCCCGCCCCCACACCCAAGCAACTCCCAAACACACTTGGAATTAGATTTCCAGTTTTTCTTCTATCTTTCACACACCACAGTTACTTCATAAAAATTTTTTGTTTTCCATTTTTTTACACCAATGTAACAAAAAGGTGGGAGGAAGGGGAGGCAGGCAGACAGTGTATCTGATGCCTGTAAACGGGGGGCGGGGCGAACAAAATGCACAGGTCTCTAGGAAACATCGAGTCTGACAGCAGGCCTTGGAAACAAGGAGGGTGTTAGCAGCTTTATTCTCAGGGTGTGACGGCGCTGTGCAGGTCAGGATGCAGGTTGTGGTGTGACCTGTCGGGGTGGGGAGGGACAGGGCAGGGAGCAGAAAGTGAGTTTTCTAAGAAAGGAACCTATCGAGTGCATGGCAGGTCCCGCAGCGTGAAGCAGAGGTTTAACATTGCTGCTTTCTCTTCAACGCCTCCACCAGGTCGTTCTTAAAAGCTTCTTGTTTGGATTTGTCTGCAAACGTCTGCACAGACCTCAGCCCATTGAGGATGTCCTTTGTTTTCCCAAAGTATATCTCATTGAGTGTACTTCTGATTTTGTTTTCCATGTCCTCTACCAGGCGCCCAATGTTGGCTATGTGCGGCGAGCTGTCGCTCACAGTTTCGTCCTTCTCCATCTGTCTGGTCAGGCTGCCTCCGAGGTTCCTGGTGCCAGAGCTGGATTTGTTGGTTTGCAGCCACAGCATCACCGTGGAGGTCAGCTTGTAATGGGCAGTGCGACCACTGGACTTCTCCTGCACTTCCACCATGTGGATGGAGTCCCAGGAGCCTTTGATCTTCTTTGATCCGTCTCCAGCCTTCTTTATGAGGATCACTCTGGCGAAGCTGTGATCCAGATCCCAGAGGTAGACAGACCAGATGCCGCCTTCAAAATACAGGTCTTGGCACTGGTCAAAGGCATTGTTGGCTTCCACCTCCAGCTTTCTCAGCCGAGTAGAAGGCATGGCCCCGTCTTCCAAGGGAGGGTCATACTTGTTACTCCATGGTGACCTATAGGAGTCCCTGTCTCTGTTGTAATCGCACAAAAGGTAATCCTTTCCCACCACCTTGTCTCTGGCAATTTTCAGTGGCTGGTCAACAGAAGACAGGAGATCTTCACATAGACTGGGGACCAGGTCGATCAGGTCGCTGAGGTTTTTCTCTATCTGCTGTGGAGGCAGGTGCCTCATTAAGTCCAAGGCACAGTCCAGCTGCTGATCACTCATGGTGGTGGTGTGGGCGGCGGTCCCAGTCCCTGCCCCTGCATCTGTGGCTCCCTCCGGTTTATTTTCCACCTACCATTTATGCTACTTATTCTCTGTACCTTTTTCCCCCTCTACTCCTCCCCCACTGATAACCCTCCATGTGACCTCCATTTTTGTGGTTCTCTCCTGTTCTAGTTGTTTGTTTAGTTTTTTATTTTTGTTTTAGGTGTGGTTGTTAATAACTGTGAGTTTTTTTTTGTCATTTTACTGTTCATAGTTTTTATCTTAGATAAGTCCCTTTAACATTTCATATAAGAAGGGCTGGGTGATGATGAACTCCTTTAACTTGACCTTATCTGAGAAGCACTTTATCTGCCCTTCTATTCTAAATGATAGTTTTCCTGGACAGAGTAATCTTAGATATAGGTCCTTGCCTTTCATGACTTGCAATACCTCTTTCCAGCCCCTTCTTGCCTGCAAGGTTTCTTTGAAGAAATCAGCTGACAGTCTTATGGGCACTACTTTGTAGGTAACTGTCTCCTTTTCTCTTGCTGCTTTTAAGATTCTCTCCTTATCTTTAATCTTGGCTAATGCAATTATGATGTTTCTTGGAGTATTCCTCCTTGGGTCCAACTTCTTTGGCACTCTCTGAGCTTCCTGGACTTCCTGGAAGTCTATTTCCTTTGTCAGATTGGGGAAGTTCTCCTTCATTATTTGCTCAAATAAATTTTCAATTTCTTCCTCTTCTCCTTCCTCTTCCTCTGCCTTCCTCTTCCTCTGCCTTCTCCTTCCTCTTCTCCTTCTGGCACCCCTATGATTCAGATGTTGGAACCTTTAAAGATGTCCTGGAGGTTCCTAAGCCTCTCCTCATTTTTCTTTTGAATTTTCTTTTCTTCATTCTGTTCTGTCTGAATGTTTCTTTCTTCCTTCTGGTCCACACTGTTGATTTGAGTCCTGGTTTCCTTCCCATCACTGTTGGTTCCCTGTATACTTTCCTTTATTTCATTTAGCATAGCTTTCATTTTTTCATCTAATTTTCGGCCGTATTCAACCAATTCTGTGAGCATTCTGATTACCAGTGTTTCAAACTGTGCATCTGATAGGTTGGCTATCTCTTCATTGCTTAGTTGTATTTTTTCTGGATCTTTGACCTGTTCTTTCATTTGGGCCATTTTTTTTTTTTTTTGGTTTTGGTGTGCCTGTTATGTAGTAAGGGGTGGAGCCTTAGGCGTTCGCTGGGTGGGACAACCCACATCACTGTGTTCTGATGCTGTATGTGGGGGAGGTGTCCGAGAAGGAACAATGGCACTTGCTCCAATCTCTGCTGGTTTCCAATCACTTCCGCCGCTACCCACAAGCAACTAGGGCACTTCTGGTGCTGATTCCTGTGTGGGTGGCTTTGTGTATGTGCTAGGACCCTGTGGGTCTCTCCAGCAAACACTCCAATGAGGCTGGGAGTCTCCCCCCTGCTGCCCTAACCACCACAGGTGTTTTCAGTCAGAAGTTTGAGGCTTATTTCCCCATACTGGAACCCTGGGCTGTCTAGTCTGGCTCACCCCCCAGTTCTGCCTGCTGGTTTATCTGCACAAGAATGTGGGATTGCCCAGTCCACAATCTGCCACCTTACTGGGTCCACCAGCCACTGCCTTGCCTGACAGCCGTTGCCTTGCCCACCCCAGTCCTCTAGCCACCCCCTTACTGCGAGTCCCCTCCACTGGGCTCCCCTCCACTGGGCTGCCTCCTACTGGTCTGGATGAATATTTATTCTTTAAGTCCTTGGTTGTCGGACTACATAGAATTCGATTTTCTGTCAGTTCTGGTTGTTTTTTGTTTTTAAATTTGTTGTTGTCCTTCTTTTGGTCGTGTGAAGAGGCACAGTGTGTCTACCTACCTACATATTTATTTTTAAATCTCATTTATGTGATATACTATTTGTCATTGAGACAAACATTAAAAATAACTGTTCAAAAGTCTGTATGTCATTAGAAAACCTTGCTCTTTGGTTAAGAAAGAAAATCACAACTAATATAACATTTTTTTACTTGTGATTAATTATATTATTTATTTATTCATTTTTAAATACTTTTAAATATTATTGTTGTTCAAGTACAGTTTTCTGCCTTTTTCCCCCCTCTTCTCCCCTCTACCCCAGCCATCCCCATCTCCCTCCCCTGATTCCACCCACCCTTGGTTTTGTCCATGTGTCCTTTATACTTGTTCCTTAAAACACTTCACAACCAATATAACATTTATAAGATGGTGAATTTGAGTGGCAGTCATAATGATTTATACCTTACTTGTTTAATTGCAGGACTCAAAAACAATTTATCAAAAATTAATTAAGCATTACCACTTGCTGAAGATTGTTTTCCATCCTACTTTAGGACAAAACAGGCATCTAAGGGAACATAATCAATCTTGCAAAACAAGTCTGGACTAAGCGTGAGAATCAATGAGTGGGTCCTGCCCTGTGATCGGTTGGTAAAATGGTCCCCAAGCTTGTTTTTATTGCACTGAGTACATTTTCACAGAATTTAATGACTTCTATCTACTTGGAGTCAATACCTAAATTCTGTGATCACTTCGAACTCTGACAAACCAAAGTTGAGAGTATATCCACGTGTTTCCACATGTGTCCACCTCATCAGGGCACAAAGTATATACAACATAGTTCCTGTAATCCTGTGTACATTTACATATGGGTAGTTAGTAAACACTGTCCAAAAAACTAAAACCCAGATGGAGACTTGGTTTTATAACAAGATATGCTGAGCATTTCTTCCAAGATCTTCTCCATTCCTCTGACTGGACCACAGCCAGCTTGTGAGTCAAGAAGGAGAACATCTGGAGTAAGAAAAGGTGGCATATGGCACACTGGGCAACTTGCCAGATGCCTTTTGGATTCTAAATCTGTTCAATGTTCAGAAGATGTAAGCAATTGCTGTTTTAGGGTTCAAGGAGGTGGCAGGGAGAAGGAGAAACAAGAAAAGCAAACCTCAGAAAGGCAGTATCTTCTTTTAGCCCTGTTTGTGACAAATGACTCACTCTTCCTGCTACACTCATTGGAGCAGGGAGAGAGAGTCATGGGGGTGTAAATACACAAGGGTCTAAAAGGACAGACTCGAAGAAGAGCTTTTCTAACTACCCCTCTGATAGGACATCTACTCAGGGTGAGAAGAGCGGCTTGAAAGAGGTTCCATCTGACCAAATACATGATTGACTGCAACCTCTAGAACTCCTTAACCAGGAAGATCTGGCTCCATGAAAGGGTTTCCAGTCCACTAGTGGGGCTTAGATCGGGTCCTAGAAGCAGAGCCCCAGCCAAGTCATTTTGCAAGTGATTTACCAAGGGAGTGTTGTCAAGAAGCAAACTTGTAAGGGGATTAAGGAAGGGGAAGATGACAGGAGAAGAAGATAAACAAGGATTTGATTCAACTGAAATCTAACCTCAGTATGATCTCCTAGGGAACTCTACAGTGTGAGTAGCCAGCACAACAGAATTCTTTCACCTTGAGAAAAAGGAGCTGCGCTTTTTTACTCCTTTATTAATCAGTCCTCAGTTGCAGACCAACCCTGAGGGGAGGAAGCCTGAACTACAAAGGCAGGGCAATTACCCTCCAATAAAAAAAAAGGTATGAATGTGAGCCTATAGCAGCCAACACTCAAGAGGTGGGAGGAATAGGTGGGTGCACTGTTACAGATATGAGCAGAGCACCAATAGCTGCTACCACACAGTGACATATCCTAGATTGAAAGGTCAACTGCTCAGTCCTTGAACCTATCACCTTTTAAAAGAGTTATTTTCAGAAGCAATGGCTCTTATTAACACTAAAAAATTCTTGGGTGGGTGGCCATATATATTGTATATAGAAGACATTTAAAAATTTCAACTGCTCTTTATGCACAGCAGTACTCTGTTAGAGTACAGGATGTGGCAGTGTTTACAGTTGTGAGTAAGCAAAACACAGTGTTTATTCCTGTATTATTATTTGTTAATTACTGTATGATTTTCCATACAAATAACTGTAAATCTACTTTCGTACTACCCCATATTTTCATGAACATACTAGATTCCTCACCAGCTCCCCATGCCCCCACCCTCTTTTCTGATTCCCAAATTCCAACCACATTTCCTCTTTCTTCTCCTTCTATACCCATAAGACTTCCCATGCTCTATTCTCACTGCTCCTTAATGATGGCATCTATGCTTTACAGAAGGAAACACACATAACCAGAGCTCAGAACTCTTTACTCAAAAAGCAAGAACTCTGTACAGGGAGCCTCTTTTCTGTACCAGCTATCTCCAAAAATTAGCTGAGTTTGGTCTCTAGCTTCTGAATTACCATTTTTACTACAGGCAGAATGAGCTTTTTGTGTAAGCAGCTTATAACTATAATTTAAGGAGCACTGAAAATAAAATACCCTTTTGACTGTCTAGTCTGAAATCTGAACCATCAATATTTATTCATACATTCTTTCAGTAAATATCCAGTCTTGCTACATGTCAGGCACAGCACAGAGCATGCAATGAATCAGGCAGAGTCCCTATGTTCCAGGGATTTAGTTTATTAGAGGGAGACCACACAATAGGGAGAGCACTCCAGGCAGAGAGAACAGCATAAGCAAAGTTACAGAGGTAAGAAGTGTCCAGAACTGTTGGAGACATACAAGTAATTTTGTGTGGCTAGAGCCTAGCAAGAGGAAAAATGAGAGATGAGGTCAGAATGAGAAGTGGAGAGCCTGATTATGGAGGGCCTTGTACACCACATAAACACTTTATCCTGAGATTAATGAGAAGACACTGAAGGCTGGAAAAGTGGGATGTGACTTGGGTTTGGTAATTCAGAAAGATAATTCTTTCTAAAGAAATATGATCAAGATATTCGAGGAAGTGAGCGTGGAGACAGAGAACTTGATCAGGACTACTGTGGTCATCTGTATGAGCAATGATAGGACCATGAACTAAGGAGGAGTAGTTGAACAGACAGTAAAACACAGATGGCTTTTTTTGTTATTAAGGAGTGTCCTTATTCAAGGGTCTTATTCAT